TCTCTCTCTCTCTCTCTCTCTCTCTCTCTCCTGCCTCCCCCTTCCTCATCCATATCTAGCTCGCCCACTCGGATAATATAACCAAGACCGGCATATAGTTTTATTATTATAATTAGGATGAAATGCGGTGTTGTGATTTATCATAACGTTTCATGAGCGGCCGGCCGGCCAGCCTATACGTACCCGCATCTATACAAGGTCGCTGACATCCTGTCAAGCTAAACGGCGACATAATCCTCACAAATGGTTATAATTTCATGTGGGGAAATAATATTACCCAGCAGATGTTTCATTAAAACCGGAAAAGAAAATAAAATCAGACTATACAAGTGCCATTGTGATTCTACTTTGTTCACCTCTTTGTATATGGGTGATTCAGGTGAAAATTGCAAAAGGAAGTGAAATAAATAATTATTGATGAATACTATACACTTTCTGTTGATGAGATCACAGGGAGGGGGGTAAATAGCAATAGTTTCCCATTGACCTATGATTATTTTCCCCTGGCGCTTTCCAAGCCTTAAATGGCTATTGAATTTGTTGATATATTCATTTTGCTTTTTAACAACCATGGCAATATCTTTTCTCTTAAGGTTGTTTATCATACCCCCCCCCCCCCCCAGCAAAAGTTATGAGAAAGATTTAATTGACGGAAGAGCAAGTAGCGTGCGGAAAACAATATGAAACTTTTATAATTATAGTTATCATCATCGTTATTGGTGATATGGGATTTCGTCCTTACCCTACATTATTGTATCGATATTTGAATGGCAGACTGTCCTCGATTCTTAGAATTAGCTTCCACATCACTATTTTTCATTCTACAAAGTATATAGGTTAACAGGTTTCAATCTTCAACAGCTGTTCATTAGACTTTGATGTGTTATCATGGAGGCCTTGCATGGAGCTTAAGTACGTCATAATCATTAGTGATGCCGTGATTCGGTGGTTGGTGTAGGGTTTTTACCATTTCAGTGGGTATTGGCATCAAAAAGGCGGGGGAGGAGAGGGAAATGGGGGCACCGCTCTTACTCCATAAATGAATTGCGAATTAACCTATTATAAGGTGTTTTTTTTTAAGGAGGGTTCCTATTTTTTTCTCGTCCTTAGACACCTCTCCCTTTTTTCCCCTCACCTTTTTCCATTTGCCCCCCCCCCCCGGCCCCCTCACCAGTTGACTGGGGCACGCCCCATGCATTTACTGCATCCCCCCCCCCCCCCCCTCCTATCAATCTTTACAGCAACTTAACCGAGTAGAAGCTAAGAAAATTGGTTAAACTAGCAATTGGAAGTACTGTATGAGGAAAATGAGACATAAAATAAGAATGACAATTTCCGGTTCGGAATTATTGACGTCACTATAAACGGGAATCAATTGTCAATTCGGTCATTATACCTGTGCAATATCATATTTTACACACTCAGTGAGAAATTAAAATCATACATTAAACGCAACAACCAGCATTTTCTAATCCAAATGCATTGTGAAATCCATGATAAAGTCACGATTAATAATAGGTTTGTATGCTTTCAGCAATGGGTGGAATCATGATTAGACGCAACGGAATATTCAAAACATTTGTAATTCTCAAAATTGTATACAGTTCGTATAATGAACAAACACTCCGATACTGAACTAGCAGTTATGGAATTTAAACACAAGGTGATACCACGGATACCATTATACATAATGCAGTCAAACCTGCTCTAGTGACCACCTGTATACAAAAAAAATGTTTTGTTTCCCTTTAAAAAGGTTTCTAATTTAAACATGCCCTATATAAAAAATAAAAAAAACCTGTATATAGAGACCGCCCGCCTCTAAAGACCACTTTTCTTGTCTCCATTGGGTGGTCTTTATAGATCTCTGTACACATGAATAATACCTTCTCATTTTAGGCAGTGTGTTCTTTATGAATTATAATCATGATAGTCATGTTGCTCTTTATAATTATCATAATTACATGTTTGTTTGTTTTTAAATGGGGGAAATTATTTAAAAAAAATTAAAGAAAAGAAGATAAACAAAACAAAACAAAATGAAATAAAAACAAAATTTTATTTTACGATAGTATCCGACACTAGATCTTAACTGCCAGTCAAACTAACTTAAACAAGAGTGCATCAACCTTGGTAACATAATCTGCTTTGAATGATCGAGGGAAGCATCCTAGATTTACAAAATTGGTTTCCATTTTGCATAAATTGCTGGTACATTGTTGTTATATATGACATATTGTAATATAATAGGCATTTAAGTATAGACATTGGGAGACGTGCGGATGGTTCTTGCCCGTAGACCTATCATAAAATCGTCTATATCATATATTTTTTTTGTCATAAATGTGTTTCTTTTCCGGTTTCAATATACCACCCAAATTTACTGTACCCATTTTAACTATCAAAGGGGAAGAGCTGATTATTTCAACACGCACATGCACACAGCGCCCTCTCTTGTCTCTTCAAAAATGAAAACATAATGAAGGGTATTTTCACTGTGAACCTGTCAAAGTTTGTGAAAGGATTTCCTTAAAAACAAAGCATACTATCAAATTAAAGAGTGGACTAATCCCTGTGTTGTTTCAAATGTTCACCTATTATTAACCACAATATATCTCGGGTTCAAGTCCTATGTCCCAGACTGAAAGGCAATGTTGAGATAATCTTGAAACGACCCTACCTCAAAAGGCGCCTAAAATGACTGTACCCCCCCCCCCTTTCCCAATTTTCTATTGCTTCAATGTTTTGCTTGTTAGAATCTTGTAAGAACATTGAAATAACCCCTTTATGATATAACATTTCCTTTTATTCTCATAGTTTTTCATTACATTTTCACTAATTTCATCTATCTATATCTATCCATCTATTAATTTACTCATTCATTTATTTATTTACTCATTTATTTATTTATCAACCTTTTTATTAATCAATTAATTGATTAATTATTATGTGTTGCCTGTCAAAGACTTTATTCGAAATTTGAAATTCGGACATTGAAATAACCCCTTTGTGATATAACATTTCCGTTATTCATTTCACTTATTTATCTATCTATATCTATCTATCTTTCACTCATTTATTTATTTATTAACCTTTTCATTTAATTATTACTTCATTTATTATTTATTATTTTGTGCCTGTCAAAGACTTTATTCGGACTTTACCCCCCCCCCCCCCCCCCCCTCCCTCCCTCTATCTTTCCGCTGACAAGAGAGTCATGAATCCGCCACTCTTAGAGGGGAAAACACTTCTAAATAATTCCCGGTTGTATATGCCGTCTTCTTTTTATTACTTTTGTAGCTCAAATAATTCATACATGTCAAAAGGCGATGACCCAAATCAGGTATCTTGTGGATCATGTATAGAGCGTATAATCAACAGAAACCACTCAAAAGAATACCTACATTTTTAACAATTAGCTATCCAAACGTCGTACAAATGTCTAACAATACAAAATCATAATACTTTGATAGAAGGCAATGAGCGTGTCTGGTATGCCACTATTATGCGAGAGACCCATGCACTCACGTTATCACGTAAGTGGGGTTGACAACTGAAACTTCGAGGTTTTTCAGGCCACGGTAAATCACGAATGCTCCTGCTTTTGCGAGTACGCAACGTGACTCTTCTTGTACCACTTGAAGGAAAACAAATTACAAGTGCTTGTTATTGAGACAAATCATCACGTGCATTTCATGTACATGTATTTACTCTTTCATAATTTGTTTTATTATACGTTTGGTTACCCCCAGTTCATTTGGTGGGTTGGTGGAGGGTGGGTGGGTGGGTGGAGGGAAGGCCATGGGAGGGGGGTCCGTCCGGTCACTGGCTGGAGAACAACTTGCATGCTCCTTTTTTGTTCGTCTCTATTAAGTGACCATTTACATTAATGTTGTTAACATCTGCGTCAAGTACCCTCACCTGTCCGTGCCTGGTACTTCTACGAAATGTTAGGTCACATGTTCTTCGTAACTTACTCAAAACGTGATACATGATGCCACATCTATACAATATTATGTAGGATGCCAAAGGTTTGGTTTAGACGTTTATAATGTCATCTTTCTCGTAAAATGATGGGGGGGGGGGGAAAGAATCCCCCCTTTCCAATACAACCCCTGCCCTCCCCCTCTCCTCCACCCCTTCCTTTCCTCTTTTTTAAATTCTTGCATAACTATGCCCATTTGAACCTATATCCCTCCTCTCCACCCTCCCTTTCCTGTTTATAGCAGTATTGTAGTACATGCATTAACACATGTCGTGTCAGTATAAACTCCTATTTCACGAGTGAGACAGCAATTTGTATACACTATTAATAGCAATGGCCTATTCATCACATTTTCCCCTTCTGATCCTTTTATTATGAAATGAATTGAAAAATCAGACCAAATAACAACTTAATCAAAACGTGTTTTCGTCTCTATTATTCTCCAAATGCGAAACGCCCAAATCATATCCCCAATTCTATGTACGCATGCACCACGGCGAATGATTTTCGACAAAAGCCCAGAAATGTGGAAATTTTTCCGGATTTCAAAAGATGCGCTCTGATGTGTTTCTTCCATTGAGTATTATTGCACCACAGTTCTCTGAATGAACCCGATTTCGTGGGCGAGGCAATCTGCCTTCATATTGCTATGGGTTACGCACAGTTGACCAATCAGCGTAAAGTCTATCGGAGGGGGTGGGGTGCAATGCCCAGAGTGCCGATGCACTACTCAAACACTAATTGGATTGAGTGGAAATCCATGCGCGTTATCTAAACATAGAGCGAACAGATTTCTAAATAATCCTCTCAAAAACTTAAAATTTATAGCATTTGGAGTTTGATTAGGTATTTCTCATACAGTAGAGCAACTCATGTAGAATAAATGTGTTGCAATTATCTGTCATAGTATTTATGCGGAAGGATATTATTTTGTTAAAGAGCCGCCGTCGACATGTCCCAGCTGGAGAATTACGTATGTCGCAACATCGCACCAAATACGTATGTAGAGAGATGCCCGATACGTTTCCTTACCAGCTGTTTTTAGAAGCGAACTGACGGCAATTGAAGATACACGAACATTAGCAGCTGTGAACAAGTTCATAACGTGGACATAGTTGAGCATATGGATATTTCTATTTGAAGCATATTTTCTTCAGTGAACTTGTAATTCTTGTCCTCGCAGAACATCTCCGATTAACACAATTATCTTTAGGAAATAGTTTTGTTTTCCTCAAGTTCATCATCATGGCATCCACGGAGTCTGGCGCACGATTTCAGGTGCTTAGCTACCCGCAGGTTGTGCGGTTAGACGAGGTGCTGACTACCCCTGTTGCCGTGCATGGAAGGGGCAACTTTCCCACCTTGGATGTGACTCTCTTGGATTTAGTGGAAAATGTTCGTGAAAAACTGGTTGGCAGCAATATTGATGTCCGGTGCATTCGAATGAATGGCGGTGCGGCTAGTTACATCTTGAGCACGGAAACGAATCAATCGTACAACGACTTGGATTTGATTTTTGGGGTTGACCTCTCGAAGACGGAGAACTTGGATATCATCCGTGATGCTGTCTTCGAATGCCTGCTCAACTTTCTACCCGAGGATGTTAATAAGGAACGTATGACATCATGTACCATGCAGGAGGCTTACACGGAGAAGATGGTGAAGATCTACAATGATAATGACCGGTGGAGCTTAATCAGTCTCTTGAACTTGGCTGGTAAGAATATTGAGTTGAAGTTTGTGGATCTGATGAGAAGACAGTTTGAGTTCAGTGTGGATTCCTTCCAGATTGTTCTTGATTCTCTCCTGTTCTTCAGGAAGATATCCGAAGTGCCCATGACCAGGCATTTCTATCCTTCAGTCGTGGGAGAGAGTGTCTTCGGAAACTTTGAGGAAGCCCTTTACCACCTGCACAATAAGCTGATCGCCACAAGAAACCCGGAAGAGATCCGGGGTGGTGGCCTGCTCAAGTACTGCAACCTCTTGTCACGGGACTACAGCCCTGCTTGTGAGGAGGAGATCAAGAAAATGGAGAGGTACATGTGCTCGCGATTCTTCATCGATTTCTCGGACCTTCTCCAGCAGCACCAGAAGCTGGAAAGCTACCTTAACACGCACTTTGCCGAGGACGTGGACAAGTACGAGTACCTGATCATCCTCCGCAGAGTCATAGACTCAAGCACGGTGTGTCTGATGAGCCATGAGCGCCGTCAGACGCTAAAGCTGATCACAGACTTGGCCCAGAGTGTTCAGTGGTCTCTTGCCTTCCAGTCGCAGTCGATGCAACCCGTCAACCTCTACTCCCAGCTTCCGATCGCCTTCGCGGTGCCACCACCACCTCTTCACACCTCCACCACCACCAAACACAACAGCTGGCATTCCGGAGTTGCCACTTCCCGTCACCACCAACAGTACCACCCACCACACCATCAGCAGCAACACCACCACAACAAGAACAGCAGTCAAGGAAGACATCACAACAACATTCCCTTCAGGTCACATCAGGGCAGGAACACATCCTACAACTCCAGCAATTACGGGAAACCACGATTCATTCCACACATGAACAACTACAGGCATGATGCCAATAATAATCACAGCAATGTGTTCAGAAGTAATAATGTTGATCCAAGGTGGACAAGTTGCTACTAATGCTCACATTAAGTCCATCAAGACTGACTTTAAACCTATTCTCATAATTCTAATAATTCTACAAGTGTGCGCTTCCTGCTATTTAATCAGAGTGTACATGATGTAGATATTGTTTCAAATTATCAAAAAGAAAAAGCTTTAAAAAAGTACTATGGAAATGTTTTATGTTATGTCATATTTGTGGTGTATTGAAATGTTCAATACTGTTTATTTTTGGTTTATGACTCAAACTTGCCAATTTATGTTCAGACAATCTGAGACAGGTAGATTTTATTCAGGAAAGATGAACTAATATGATGTACTCTTTCGCACTTACAACAATGTACACTGATTCCATTAGAATGTTCAGATATTCCTGTCTCCTTTTCCACTAGTATGTTTGTGGCTCTAGTTTGGAATGGAGAGGGGTAGCATTCAGATGGGACAGTGCTTTTTTTTGTCTCAGGAACACACATGATTTAATAAGATTTTATAATTCCTCTATATTACAGTTCAGTTGACAGTTGCCCCACCCAATCCCCTTTTGAAAGTGTGAAGTATTGTTGCCTTGGAATCCTGTTCATAAATATTGTGGGCCAATTTAAAGTGATATCGACTCATCAAATGCTTTACCGGTGAATAGATTTTGATTTAATGGGCAGTAGAGCTTAAAATAAGCCTTTTCTCCAGAGCAAATATGGTGCTATGATCCATGTGCAAAATTGTGCATTCAACAGATAAAATTATCTTGAAATATGATATGCTTGAAGTTTGAATTAAAAAGAAACTTCTCTTCCTTTCGATCTGAAAGTATGTTGAAATATTTAAGACCATTACTGTATATTATTTCCAAATTCCCATTGGGTACAAATTTATCCTTTGCATAAAACTGTGAAGCATTGTAATTTATGTTAATTATTAATTATTATCCTGTGAAAACCAGGGACAAAAAAACTTGAAAAAATGAAATCAGCATTGTCACAACCTAAAAATCAGTATTGTAAAACATTTGAGCTGACAATTATTGGACAAACATGTTCAGTGACAATGCATTTAGTTATTTATTCAAACTGGTAGTAAACTTTGCACTTACAGTGTCGATGCATCAACAGAACTGAAGGTCTAGGAAAAATAGGAATGGGGAATTCTGGAATGGTTCTACATTGTACCCGTCTTTACAATCTTGTTTCAACCTGTTTACATGTGTCAATATCAGGATGATTGCGCCACAAGCCATATTGACTGTTAGGAGCCAGAAGGGAATTGAATCAGTGTCAAACAATGAGCTAATGCCCTTCTTTTTCCGAGCAAATGATATGTACCTGTAAGCCCCCCTTATGCAAAAGATCCAGGAAGCTTATGTACACAATGGATGGTTAAAGGTCTGAATTGTGCAATTTTTTTTCCTCTCGTGTATTGTTTCACTTCGATGGACCTTGGCACATGTATGGCTCCAGTCAGCCACAAACAGATCAGGCAAAAAGCTCCTCCCAAGAGTCGTTCTCAAATCTCAAGCAAACAATTTTTTTTTTTAGTGGTGCTCAATGTAGTGCGTGGGTGGACAGTGGGTGAACCAGTACTGCGGTAAAGTGCCTTGGACTGTTTCCTTGAATTTGGCAAGGCTTCTTGTAATTTGTGAGTAAGACGCGTTAAAAGGATTTTTTGAATGACTTCTCTCTAACTTGGGTTAAGGGGTTACTTGTAGGCCTATAACTAAATGTATACCAGATATTTACATGTATGTTTGGCTTTAGTAACCATTTATTTTAACCCACAAGGACCTGCTGCAAACTCTTATTTCTTCAAGAATAAGAAATTCCCCTTTTTTTGCATTGATGTTCAACTAATGTACATTTCAGTATACCAATTTGAAATCTATTGGTATTAAATTCATCATGTACAGTCAGTGCTTGGTGTACATGTACACGGAAGCATATTTTTGGGGCCCACCTTTCACTGACTATGGAAATAAGGCTTGGTCAAAATTTTCTTCAGGAACTGAAAGTAACTAAGGACATATTGACACCAAAGATTCAATGAGGCCAACATGTACAGTACAGTAGGCCCTACACATTTTTTCATCAAACCTTTAACATTTTATTCTGTGCTGGCTATAAGCGGCTCTGTTTAAAGTGATTTGTTCTGGCTTGATCAGTGTAATGTGACAAAGATGTAAAAGGATAATGAGATTTTTATAGAAAGGGTTTACTTAAAATTAGGAGAAAAAGAATAACAGCCTAGAAAAGCGGTTTAGATGGCATTTGCTCTTTGAAGCATGTCTCCTACCAAACCATGTACATGTACACAAGAAAGAGACAAGAAAATTAGGGTATCAGGAGCTCAGACCATTTTGTTATCTTCCTAATCCTCTTTTAATTTTGTGTTTAACTTCACTCAAGTAGAAAACACTCTAGTCAGCTTTTTCCTCACCAAAAATGACAGGTATGTGTATTTGACAAGTCTGTGTGACCAATCCAAGTTGTAAAACATATTTTTTCTGGAAGTATTGTGCAGGAATTGCGCATTTTACTTGGAGAAGCATGATGTCTCTGGCAGACAAGAAGTTGACAGTTGAACTTCAAGCCTTGAAGATGTGTCACAGTGTGACAGTTTGAAACAGGTGGCTGGCTTGTGGGTTAGTAGTAAACAGGGCTTGGGGGCATTATAGTATTGAACCTTATGAGTTGCTAAGGGATGGGAGGGCACGAGGGGGGGGGGGGTATTGAGACCCTCCAAAGAGTCCCTCTAAAGCGTCATAATCGGAAGCAAAGCACTAGTGTACAGTTACAAATCTGTCGACTATCTGTACTAGTCTGTACATCGGTGCACTGTACATACATGTATATGCACACTCCTTGCAGTTGTGCAGAGTTGAATGATTTTTGATGCATTTTAAAAGTGATAACTTGCAATGTGAATCGGATTACCGTATGGTGGAACATGTTTTGAAGGACAGTTTAGCAATACCAAAACAGAGACCAATTTTGTGTGTTACTGTAGAAGTAATATAATCAGTGATTTAATTTGAATTGAATCGCTGGATGTTCAAAATACGTAGTCTGTTCTGTTGTACATGTACTCCTGTAAAAAGGAATCAAAGCATTGGTGTCTAGACACAATTAAATGACCATAGCAGCTGTATATGTAAATAATAACTTTACAAGGAAAACAAAAGAATTCATTAATGATTATTCACCTTTTACATTTGTAATGGGCTGCTAATGTACATGTACATTGTTCATACATTATTAGGTGTGACATGAACACATCTTGATGAGCTTGCAAATTGCCCAAATATGGACATTATTCCCCTCTTTTTCCTTTCGCTTTAATCAAAGCAGAGCCAACTAAGATGTAAATATCTAGAAAGTGAAACTTCATTATTCTTTTATTATTGTCACATTGACTAAGGTCCATATGTATAGATTTTGTATCAGCTTTCTCCTCGGCTTATTTGCACAGGGAAATTGGATCCATGTACACCAAAAAAAAAAAAAAATCAATTTTGAAAACATTGTGGGGAAAACCCTGCCATCAATTCAGACCGAGTTCTTTGCATCCAATGTTTTGCCTGTTGCGCAACAATGTTGTAACAGGTGTAATTATTTATATCCAGTAATGACGTTCCCAGCGAGTTATTATCATACTGATAGTCTCTGTGGCTTGTCTGTTTAAATTTTAAAATGAGAATGTTGGGGCAGTAGTCAGTCCAGCTATTTTTTCTCTTCATTCATGTGTATTTGTAATTTATCTTCTTGCAATTAGTGTGTGATGGACATATCAAAATATTTCAAAATTTGAAAGAAGCAATTTATATTGAAAAAAAGAGGAAATATTCTGTAAATTGAGTAGACCGCTTTTCTATCACATCATGCTACCGGGTACACTGTATTTCTCCTACCCATTGCCCATATACCTGTATGTATAAATGATAGTCAATACAGGTACTTGACACATGTATGTCTAATTATTCAGAATTACAAGTTTTTACTGTATTGCTGTAGTCAGGATGCATGTTGTACATGTTGTTGCTATGTCGGGCTAATTGCTCATGGGAAATATACATACATTTTGATGCGAATGTGATAGAAAAGGAGTCTACATGTATATGTATTGAGTAAGTAATTGTACAGTGAAGAACGTGGTTATGCAAAGAGAATATTGGACCATTATGTTTTTGATTGCTTTGATCTGCATACACCCTGTACATGAGTTGATACATGTACACCTGTAGCTTTGTGCACATAAGATGAAATTTGTCACTATAATTTGACTAAAGAGAACTCGTAGCAAAGTAATGTTGCTAAAATGACCTGATTGTGCAAGCAGCATCTAATCCTTCACGTTTGTGAGAGGATAGATTATCCTGTCTATGATTTAATTTAGACATAATACATGTATGAGCTTCCAAAACTTGTTCATATAAGGATCATGTACAAGTTACAACATTTATTACAGATAGAAGTGTCAATCACATGTAGCATCTTAAAATTGTTTTGTTAAGAGTTTATTGCATAGAGGAGGGTTTGAGCCCCCTCTTTCAAAACAGGTCATCTGTTTGAAGTGTGAAAGTGGCCCTGTTGGCTCCAAACAGACAACGTCTTCTGTTTCGACTTGAGAGGCAGATGGACGTTTTTAACATTGTACTCACATGTATATCTGATATATGAATGCTCTTATGGCTTCAACAGACAGAACGTTGTACATGGGTACTTTCGTTCTGTTGCTATGTCAGATTCATATACTACCTCAATTGGCCTGTCCTCCTCTGCAAAACTGAATAATTGCTCATCCGATCGTCCTCTAAACTTTTATCAACATCAATAAACAAACAAAAACATGTTGTCTGTTTGGAGCAAGAAGGGCAAACTCTACTCCGTGTTAAAAAATGTGTAAATTTCGCTCTTTTAGCCCCAACGGACAATCTAATCGATGCATTTGAACAAAGTGTGTACCTACTGTTGTAGATGAATGATGCCATGAAATATTACTTTGTTAATTTTTTTCATTTTATTTTTTAGAAAGATGTACAAAAAAGTGTACGTGTTCTACTATCAGGCACATTGCTCATTTGTAAACAAAAATGGGGAGTTGATTTACAATCTTGTACATTTGTACATGTGAAAAGAAAAATGTATAAAGTCTATATAAGTTGACATGTAAACAGTTGTAATGTACATAATACATAAACACTGTACAATTGTACATTATACATTGTAGTTTTTACTCTGCAGAAAGCCAGAAGGACGCTAAAGTCATACACAGACTTAACGCCCTTCTGGCTCTCTGCTGATGAGTCCTGTTGGTTATCATGCTATTGAATACGCATTCCTCATTCAGTACTATATTTTGTGTTATACATTTATCTGTTTCATTCTGAAAAATGTTGCAATGTCAACTTTTGCTTGGTTTTATGCTCGGTTTTATGCTCAGACACACAGCTTGAGGTTTTCAGTATTTAGTTCTGCTTGTTTTCTTAAGTTGAGAAAAATACTGATAAAATGATGAAAATGAACAGCGGTATTTTGTCTAAAGAAACAATAACAACAGTGATACACTTTGTGCGCAATTTAGAATGATAACGTTTTTTCTGATTAAAACTAAGCCAGACTAAGAAATGATTTAAGTGGACTTCAAAGAGATGAATCTGTAGACAAAACAAAGTTATCTGATCTATGATGGTGCTCAAGTTACAGGATAAAGACGAGGGTGATCAAATTGAAATAAGTGATTCTTACATAATGTCTAGACTAACATTATGTGAATGTGGAAAAGACATATCTGAATCAGATGCTGGCATGACTGCAAAAACAGAAGACTGAGAAACAGGTACAAAAATGAGTATCAGAAAACAAGTTTATGTTGATTACTGTGTACAACTGTAAATGTAACTTCTTTTTTTCTTGCGCATTTTGTTTCATTTGCTTTGTCATTGCAAGTATCTACACTTTTTGTCTTTTTCCCATATTGTAACGTAAGTGTGTTCATCTTATCATGTTTGAATAATGAGTCACATGATCTTGCAACATTATTTTACGCTTTATCAACCTACATGTATATACGGAATGTTCTCCATTGTTCAATAATTAATGATCATTCGTTTGAATTTCCAATTGATTGAGCGATGATTGTGGTACAGAATGTATACTATCTATGGTGCCTTGTAATTGTGCAGAGAGGTAATAGGCGTTAATATAAAGTGTGTTGAACTGTCATTTTAATAATAAGATATACCCTAATATTTTGGCAAGCATTGTTAAAACGCATACCAAATTAATGCCTATTAAAAGTCAAATTGAAATTTCTTAATTTTAAGATTTGAAGAGAACACTGAATCTGTATTAATGAAAGGTTCATTTTTATTCTGGAAAATCGATAAAAGGTCACATTTTGTTCGTAGCAAAGAAACTCAAGTGAGGAAGAATACACATTCTTAAAGTCATCTGTGAAATATGCCTTGTATATTTTCTGTTTCTGTAAAGTTGTATATTCACTGATATTATATGCTATATTTTTGTGCATTATTTCGATCTTTACCTGTTCTCAACTATGTACATGATATTTTCATGGTCATATTATTTTTATTCCTGCAGATAAAAGGAAAAAAAAGTTATTTTAATTTAGGAAGCAAGTCGATAGGTATCAACCCTGTTGTGCTAGGCATTCATTCTTCCTTGGAGAAAAAAATATTCTGAAAAAATGCTGAAAAAAATAATAAAAAACTCCAAAAAACCTGAAAAGAGAAAACAATAATGTATCTTGGTGTTTTTGATGTTTTATTTACGCCTGTGGTAATGGAAATGAGCTGGAGAGTGATTGAGATTTGAGATCTGAGTATACGAGAGAAATAAAAGGAGGGAGTTGGAAAGAGAGAGAGAGAGAGAGAGAGAGAGAGAGAGAGAGAGAACGAGAGAGGGAGGAGAGGGTTGTGTAGGTGCATGCATTGAAAGTGGTACATCCATAAATGAGAGAGAGATGGGGGGGGGGGGGGGGGGGGGGTTGAAAGCAATAACGATGAACGTGGGTTACTGAAAGCACTTCAACAAGTGCTTCCAGGGATACGGGAGTGGGGGGACAGGGGGCATGTGCCCACAATAATTTGGCCTCCCCCCCCCCCACAAAAAAAAGACAATTTAATATTTTAAAAATAGCCTAGGTTGCATTTCATCCACCGTGTAAGGCTACCCAATTAATTCCGTGCCCCTTAATTAGATCTGGTAAGCCAACCATGCCAATGTCTAGTGTGGTCAAAATGTGAGTTATTGCTAGAACTACTTATTGGAGAGTTGCTGTTGTAGCTTGGGCGGTCATGCTTTTTATGATTGTAAAGAGCAATGTCTCAGTCTCTCAGAGGCATGCAAGGAATTAGAATTTATTTCGTTTAGTAATGAGTTTCCTCTACATGATTGTATAGTGCCGTAAACGTTGTCTGAATGACTGTTTAAAGCGGCACTAACTCAAGGGCAGAT